TGCTGCCCACACAGCTCCCTGATGCCCCTGGAGAACTGCACCTCCATCCCTTTCCCCTGTCCTGCTGCAGCTTCAGCACCAGTAGGCATGCCTGCGCTCACACACGTGAGCACATACACACATGCATACATGTGTGCGCACACACACTCTTTCTCTCTTTCTCTTACCAACCTGTAGCTGCTGGGTCCACGCGCAGAACATGTGATGCCCTGCTTCTAATCACCTTTTTCCCTGCTGCCCCAAGCAGCTCCTTGCTAGGGCAGAGGCAAAACAAAATCCTGAACATTTGCTGATATTTAAAAAAACTGCCTGGACAGAGGTGGGAGGACCCAAAAAGACGACATATCTGGGAAAATCTGGGTGTATGCTAACCCTATATACACAAGCAGTGAGATGCAATTAATCGAGTCTGCTGGAGTGTGGTAATCACTGTGCTCCAGCAGCCTCCAGGGTCTTGTGTATCAGCATCTGCGTGCTTAAAAATGGCAGTGCGGGCACTTGAACTAAAGCTCGTTTGAGCTTTAGATAAAGTGCACCCGCCACCATTTTTAAGCGTGGGGGTGCTGATACATGAGACAGTGCGGGGGTTTTAATTAGAGTGACTCGGAGTTGCTCTAATTAAAGCCGTCCCCTCCCCCCCTTCCTGGACCATGTGTATAAATGCCCTTAGTTCCAGCCATCAGTGCTGGGTTCATGTGTAGATTTTGGTATTCAAGGGGTATTCAGATCCCTAAGATTAGTATGATTGGCTTAGAAATGCTGATGCTCTCTTTAAAATGATCTTTTTAAAAAAAATAAAACATTATTTCCTTTAAATTAATTTCCTTGCTGGTTTCTGAGCCCTTAATTTACTCGCATCACATTTCTCAAGCCTTTCTCCACAGTTCTGGGGTCTAGAAACTCACTTTTGTTAAGGAAATGTAAGCTGAGGTCCTTGTGCAGGTTTTTTCATATCAGCAGCTAGGGCTTTAAAGAAAAGCTTGTTATAAAACTGTGAGAGTCGGCAACACTGAGATTAACCAACTCTCAGAGAGAAAACAATGCCAGTTTTCCTCTGCCCGCCTCCCAAGCACAGAATTCAGGGTTCGGTATCTCGTTGGCTCCGTCTGGTGGCCCTGCTGAAAGGAAACCACGGCCTTCAGTTCCCAGCGCAGTGTTTGTTGTGGCCTCAATTGTTGCTAAGGAAACATGATAGCGAACCCAACATTTGTCAGGTTAAATAGCGTTTCTGTTTACCTGAGCCTCAGCTTAATTTTGAGGTCATTATAAACGGTAAGGTGAGTGAAGACAATCAGAGTATAACCTAGACATTAATTCAGTTGACTTCAGATCATTTGCATTCTTCAGATTGACTGATTCAATTACTGCAAAATGTATGTAGCGTTTTGCTTGTTGTTGTTGTTGTTATTATTATTAATAACTACCCATCCACCTGTCTATGGGGTAATGATCTCACAAACAGAAAAGGTAACAGTATTGATACTACCACTTGCCAAAGAGGGAAAACACTGAAATTCTGCAACAATCTCAAAAACAGAGACTCCCTATGAGACTTCTGACCGTTTTCCTCCTCTGCCCACCATCTATTCAGACCTTGATTGGACGGAGTCACTCAGCATGGCAGACATGCAGGGCAAAATTGGAGAATGCCTCTGTTCATGAAGAGCAATTGAACTAAATTTCACATGCATTCCTAAATTACTGCTCTCTGTTATGATGCAAGAGAAGCCAGCTTAAAAAGTCCTTCAGGTTCAAAGGAAGAGAAAAAAAGAAGAGAAGAGAAATTGTGATTTTTACTGTTCAGTGAAAATGGAAACAAACGCCTGAAGGTTCTTTTTTCTGCCAAGAATCTTTCCCTTTTGTAAATTATGGGATGTGTCCGTTTAATGCCAATGACTTGAAAAACTGCAAACGGCTGCAAAGGAAAACTCAAAACAGGTACTATACAGCAAGCAGCTTTCCCTTTCTCTTCCCTGTCAGGAGGGGAATGTCATTTGCAGTATAGTTTCTCTGGTGCTATAGATCTCGAACATCTTACTACTGTAATGAATGGGTGAGGCCTGCTCTCATGGGCAGTCCAAACGTGAGAAGTATGTGAAAAATGGGTCCTAGATTATTTGCTATTTTAGGACAGCTCATTATTCTGGCACACAACTTAATCCAGAAAGAAGATGTAGAATGATAAATTCCATCACAGTGTACAGAATTTTAGAGCAAGTAGCTAAAATGGAAATATAAATTGCCTGCAGGTAGCCAAGAAATGGCCCTTTCCACTCGGGATGTAAACAGTTAAATGACAATTACATTTATACTGTTTATTGCTCACCGTTTACCATTTAGTGAACTCCGGCAGAAATGGCTCTGGCCCCTGATGTCTTCACCGTGTTTCTGGTGCTGCGTGGGCCCCTGGCAGCTGGTGGGGAGCCACGGGAGAAAGACACTGGGCATGGGTGAGCCACTAGGGGGCGCTTCCCAGCTGTGAAGCTGGGGCTCCCCTGGCTCCCATGGACAGGGGCTTGGGCTGCAGATGGAGCCAGGGCTGCGGACCTCTCCTGTGCCTGGATTCAGCTGCCACAGGGAGGGAGGGACATGCCACAGAGGTTGGTTGGGGCCTTCCTGTCACAGCAGTGAGACTCGCCTGCATGGTGGGTCTGCCTGGCCCCCCTACTAGGGCATCCTGGGTAAGGTGATGGACTTCCTGTGCCTCTTGCCACCTTTGTGCTGGTGCAGCCCAGAACTGCAAGACCCCTCTGAGCTGCCTGGCCAGGCTCTCCCCAGCTCACCCAGGAAGAAGAGGAGGTCTGGTCCCAGTGGAGCAGACTCTGCCGGGCACGCTGCATCCTTCCCCATCCTGCCCACGGCACTGGTGCTGTGCAGGGCCTGTCAAGGAGGTGCTGTGGCAGCTGGAGTGGGCATCGCCGGGTCTGAGGGGCTGCTGCCAGCCCCTTCTGTGGTGAGTGCAGTCCCAGGTGTTTCTGGGGTGCAGCGGTTCAGCAGAAATCCCAGGGGGAGTGTTAGGGTTGCAACAGCAGCCTCCCAAGCTGGAGCTGCTGCACTGCCACCCCTCAGGAACGCCCTGGAGCCGTGTTCACCATGCGAGGGGCTAGCGGCAACCCCTCAGACCCAGTGCTGCCTGCTCCAGTTGCCACCGCACCTCCTCAGGCTGAGCCCTGCCTCAGGACAGGACCAGGCCCTGCGCAGCCCCAGCAGCATGGGTGGGAGGTGGAAGGGCGCAGCGCGTCCAGTGCAGACCCCACCACTGGGACTGGTCTCCCACTGCCACTGGGGTGAGCTGGGGAGGGCCCAGGCCGGCAGCGTGGAGGAACTTCTTGGCTCCCATTGCTCTTTCTTCTTAAGAAAGGAGTTGGTGCTTTGCTAACCCCCCTTGTCTTCTTCATTACAGTACTGGTACCCTATAAATGAGTTTCAGCGCAGTCTTGGAAGGGGAAAAGTGTGACTTGGAGCGTGGTTCTCATGGTTCTGGTTGGCAAATGAGACAGAGGTTCGTGGGGGGAAAAGTTGAAAAAGTAATTTAAAAGCTGTTTTATAGATCTGAATGTAACATAACATTTTGTCCAGCCTCTCTTCTGTGGTTCCAGAGTCAGCCCTTCTGGGACTCCTGCACCACTACATTGAAGAAGGAATTTCAAAGAAATCTTGTCCGAGTTCTGGGAATTGCCCCAAATGTGTGTTTGTGTCAGGGACTGTGGTCTGGGTCTTTAGGGAGCAACCTGAAAAACTCTTGCTTATAAATGCAGAAGTTGTTTTCCTCTGCCTCCGACCACTAAACAAGGCCATGTTCCTGTGAGTGTCCTGGGCCATGAACTTAGCACTTCAGCAGGGGTGTTCTTCACACTGATTAGTAGCATACTGATGACCCTTTGAGAGTATTATTACAGTGCTTTATTTTGTTACCATTTAAAAACCTTTATTCAACCCTTGTATTTTTTTAGCGACTATGCATATGGGAGTCAACATCCCAGTGTGAGATGTTTACATGAACCCTACCCCATTAGAAGATACCCCATATGTGTTTGGGTGGAATGTGTGCTGGAGTAGGCTATAATTTTTTGATAGTTTCAGGTGATCATGAACACAGCGTTGCATCATTAGAGGGATACACAGCCAGGAATAGGCAGTCTTCTAGCATTACAAGTTGAAGCGCACAAGCGTCCATCCAGAAGCACCATGTACTCCATGTTGTGTGCTGTTTGTGGTTCATCTAATACCCTTAACAACACAAAGTGTACACACCTGATGTAAACTTCTATCAGGCTATTGAATAATGGAAAGTCCCTTGTTACTTTGCCTAGCATATTTGTGTTCTTCCAGGCATTTCTATTCCACAAGAACACGCTGCCTGGGTACTCCCAAGGGGGAATTTCCTTCCTGATAAACAATTCTGTAGTGATTCACCAGGAAGGATGCTGTGGTTAAGGCACTGGATTGGGACTCAGGCGACTGGGGTTCTATTCTCAGTTCTACCACAATCGAGATGTAATAATGAATGGGTTGATGCACAAATATGGGGGCGGAGAAGTGTAACTAAAATACAAACATGTTTTTGGATGAACTGTTTCCTCCTGTTTGGAGGCTATGTAGATTTGTTTGTATCTGTTTTTGTTACTGGAGACAAATAAATTGATGGCATCTGGGATGAGGCCTTAACTGACACTGAGTGAAGTATGAACCTAAAAGTTAACGTTGGTAACTGTAACATCAATCTGCTGTATTGACCATGTGGGAATAATTGGTGTAATGTGCTCAGGTGACAGTATCCAGTCTTACTTGGTTGGTTGATTAAATAAGTCCTCACTCAAGGGCTCATGCCTTTCAAAATGTGCTGCAGTTTCTGTGAGAAATCAGATGCCAAACTCATTTTTCCCCTACCTTGGTGAGGATCAAATGTGTCCCTTTGTATAGTCTGCAGATTTGCTATTTTCTTTGTCAGAGCTTATAATGTTCCCATGGGGTAACTCTCCATTTTTTTTTCCTTTTAGAAGCGAGAGCTCTGGCTACAGATCTTTAGCTCAACTTCTTAATACTGTGTCTGTCTAGAAAAGATGAATCAGGAGAGCAGCCCGAGCGAACTACCTGGTGGTGAGTTTTCAGTCTATCCAGGCACTCAACCTGTTTTCAGATCAGTGATTGTCCATGTGATTTGTTTTGTATTTATTTTGCCTGTTTATGTAGTATCAGGAAATTAAACCACAAACAGAAATAAAACAAAGGGGGTGATTCCTGTGCTGAATCAACTAAAAGCATTTTACACTGTGCCCTGAAGGTGACTGGGTATTCTAGCTTTCTGACTGTAGTCAGATGTCAAAATTCTGGAAATTAAACTCCGATTTTAAAAATTGATTATGGCAAATGTTTTAATAGCCCCCACCTACTCACAAGAATACTAATTTTAATTAAAATGTATCACACAATTCCTTAGTCAGGTATTATCCATAAACCATTCTTTTTTCTGTTAGTTATTTGCCAACAATTAGTAGCCTTCTAATACAAAGGTATGCCTTTTACCTTATGAGCTAATGGTGTATATATAAACAGTGGCATAATGGCCCATAAAGGCCTAGCATTATACTCCTTGGCCTGCCCTAAGATTCATCACAAATCTCTTACTCAGTTCATTATTGATGAACTTCTGTAGTGTGGTGTCGTCATCCAAGCCTGCTGATGCCACATCTCTTAGCAGCCTGTACAGCAGAAGGAAGCTTGAGAGCCTCATATCCCAAAAGCAGTGCCTGCAAATTCCAGGCTCCTGCTCAGCTGTGCACTTGTAAAGAGCCGTTCTCATTCTGATGTGAGAGCTGGTTTTTGGTGCTTTCCATTGTTCCCGATTCTTTGGTTTTGGGCAAGGTTTTTTTTGTCTGATTGCTCTTTTTTTCCTTTTTTTAAATAAGTAAAGGTGGTTGTGCGAGCTCAGTCCAGCCTCTTTTCTGTGGTTCCAGAGTTCTGTTTCTTGTCTTGTGAGGAGTAGTGAGAGTCCATTTCTTTAGTTTTGGCCTTGGTTTGGGGGAGGTTGTCTAATTTTTTCTACAGTTTTCATTCATTATGGTAGTGCTGAGATGGAACCTCCTGGAAATAAGGTGCTGATGGTCCTCGGCACAGTTCCAGCGGGCAGACCTGCTCTGAGCAGGATATGTTGACACAATGTTTCAGACTATGGAAGCTTCCTAAACCAGCGCTCATACCAGAACTGTTGGCGTACAAATTGAACAGTTGGTAGCAGCACTAAAAAAAAATCCCTCTGTAGTATTTAAGAACAGTGAGTTCTGCTTTTAACTCTTCAGTGCTTTGTGTATTTTTTGTTGTTGATATGACTGAAAGATAGGTTCATGGCAAGAAATTGTGGGGATGGGCAAATCAGCAGTGTGAGGGGAAAGTCCAGCATTTTTGAAGTGTTAGAATGACATTTGGGGGGAGGCTCCATAGGCAAATCTTAGTGGTGTCCATGAGAGAAGGGTGGAGCACAGCTTGAGCATACTCAGATTATTTATTGAGCCAAGAGCTCCACAAGATTTAAAAAGGGATGGGGATGCTGACATGGATATCAAGAACACACAAAGTTACCAGAATGAATGCCACATTTGGGAAAGGATATTAAAACTCATATTTCAGGGTTTGGGCTTGACCCAGTCTCTAATAAACAAACACCAGGATGAAACCCTCTTCAGGAGCAGATGGTCCCACATATGCGTTTTGCCAGGTTTTATGCCTTCACTCAAGCATCTGGTATGGGCCAGAGTCCAGTGGTAGGATACCAGGCTATAGGGTCTCATCATCATTTATAGTAATTTCTGTGGTTTGCCACCTGTGCTGTAAATAAAGTTGACCCTCTGGAGGTCTCTCATACACAATCTCCATTTGTTTAGCTTCCAACACCTGACTTGGCTTCTCGTAACTTTGAGGAGAACCTCAATACAATTAATTGTCTGAGCCTCACTAAGCCTACTACTTCGCTAGGAGTCAGAGAGGAAGGATACTTTAATCTTGTGAAAGATTAAACTATTTTTACTGTAATCCAGCTGGAAGGGTAGCACTTTTCTCAGGGTATGAGACAGCCAAGTTTTTTTCCCATTCTCTCCTCCCCTCGTATACAGGAAGGAAGTCCTGGCAAGGGCCCCCTTAGCTTCCTGTCGACTTCTGAGCACATTTCCAGACACAGCCTTCTCCACCATCCATCACCCAGCTCAGCAAAACAATTACTGCAGTGCGACGGGAAAAACACGTTTCACATAAACACGTTGGAGGGTGTATGATTGCAAACCACTAGAATTCACACACAAGCCAGATTTATCTATGAGCTGCATCTGACAGGAGATTATTCAGTACTTTCTTCCCTCCTCTTTATAACCAAATGTCTCAGCCACTAAAATTCTTCTTTAAATGAGGCTTAAAAATTAAAATCAAACCTGCCAATGTTTAATAAAGTAGCCTCTGCATTGGCAAAAGTCAACAAAATGTATAGAGCCTTAGGCCAAGAAAATGACTAAGGCTGGTTTCTGCTGTGAAACACTAGAGAGGTGATGCGCTTGGCACAGGGGAAGATGTAAGCTGTTCAGTCTCACATTACTCAGGGCCTAGCTGAGATCAGACAGTAAGTATGATGGCCAACTTTGCCAGAAGATCAGACAAGTAAGTATGATGGGATCCAGAACAAGGCAGTTATGAGACCCAGGGTTTAAAGTTTAGAGTGTCTGACTATGGAATGGTTTAGGTATAGTTGATCTTGCCTTTGGGCAGGACCAGAGATGACTTCTTAAGATCCCCTCCAGCCCCATTTCTGTGATTCAATTATGATACAGTTGATATGTGGCACCTTAAAGCAGAAAAGAAATAACATGGCAGAGACCTGCCCTGAATTTAGCCTTACATGTCCTGAGGATGACTGCAGCATATCTTCCTAGAAAGGGGTGGAGGAAGCAATTCACTACCACTTCTTTATTAAGGGTGCATATTTCCAATGATTGTCTCAGAAATTACTTTAACATTTAGACAGTATTTTTTGGTACTATTTGTAATCAGTCAGGCATTTTTTAAAGCCAAAAACTACTTTTGCATTACTTTTTATTAGCCCAATGTTCCCGTTTGCTTTGTACCATGGGAGTTTCATCCTGGTATGGATGCCTGTATCCTTGCCTGCACTGTTCTGTCATGGAGGCTTGATGAGAGATTGCCAGGAACACCCCACAATGTGATTGTATGACTGTTGTACAAGAGTGTAGGTCAGGATGTCAGTGCCACTGGAAAATGTAGAAAAGTTGGTACCTATGTACTTGTTAGTGCAAACTGCATCTCTAAATGAAAGTGATATTTAATCAAGCATAACAGCTGGGTGTTCAGAAAAACCAGGAAAGTTTGGCTATATCTAAGGTAACTTTTAAATATGCTAAAGCTGCCTTTTTCACACAGAAGATTAGGCCCCCGGATCTGAGCACCTGCAGCGAATGTTCCCAGAAACAAAGCTTAACCTGCTTTACTGTATCCTCCCAGTTTCAGCCCCCAGCCATATCTATCTGAGAACCTATCCTTTGGTTCTTCATGCTAAGGTGCTCTTTTCTGATTACTTATGTCAGCTGTGGAAGAACTTGTCTGTACTTTTGAGTGGAATTGTGGAAATGACATTTGAGGGCTATCGACTTTTGGGTGACTTAGCTAGTCTGATTGCTGCAAAGAGGGCAGGTCCCAAGTCATGATAAACCAAGGTAACTACTCCAGGGATGCTCCTGGATGCAGCGTCCAAGGCCTCTGTTTCTGACATGCTTGAGGCGGGGTGGTGGGTGGTAAGGGATATTCTTGGAGTGTGCTTACTGCTTCAGTTCTGAGTTTGGAGCATGTTGAGCAGAAGCAGTCTGGGGGGCTTATTTTTCAGTGGCAACCTGAAGAGTAACTTAGAATGAGTGTTGAGTAAACATGGGCGTAACGCCTTTCCAAAGCCAGATCAGAGGTTTTTTAGTTTGGACAGTACAAGATTTCAGATTAACTGTGCAGTGAGATCATACCCCAAAACTTTAACATTTGTTTTTAGTGAAGTAGAAAGGACTTCTACTGAACTGCCCAATTAAATTCACTGATGGTCTCTTTGCTGGCTGTACTGGACGCTCCATAATTTCACAAAGTTGTTTTAATTGCTCTTTCCGAAAGAGTAATCGTAATTAAAATGCTTTGGTGCAGTTCATTTTATTACTGGCAAAACTAATATTTTCTTACGGCTAAAATTTGGCTAAATAAGGCAAAAACTTGAATGCATGCTGTAACTGCTACAAGCAGAAACCAATTTGTTCTTTTTAATGAGTCAGTTTTTGTGTTAGGACTTGGGGAAGGAAATTTATGAAGGGCATGAAGAAGCAAGATCACATAAAAGCCTTGTGATAGGTTATTGAAACCTGCCACTCCAGGAGAATCCTGCTGCTTCAACACAGTGGCCTACCTGTTTACCTTTAAAAACCCCCCCTCCTCTTTCTCCTAGATGAGGAGCTCAAGACTTCTCTTAAACAACGGTAAAAATAAAATTAAAAGACATGCAACTTTGGAAAGCAGCAAGACTAGTTCAGTGACACTTGACTGCACAGAACTAGTCTTTCTAGCTCTGTGTGCCCATCACTGTTGTTAACTGCTTTCCTCTTTTTCATGTTTCATCTCCTTACTGTGTGTTGTTTTATGTAGTAAGGTTTAGGGGAGTTAGATGCCTTTACAATTTTGGCTCTAAGCTCTAACGGGAAAAGATTATCTCTTGCTACTCTGAGCCTGTGTAGGATCCTACACCATGCAGCCCTTATCTTGATGTAGTTTTAGTAAGTGCTGCTGCAATATGAATAATAATATAAGAATAATTATATAATTCTAAAAGCTCTCATAAAATACAAATAGATGATTCTGGTAAAAGAGGACAGTGAGCAGATAAGAGGCAACATGGACCATGAATGGGGAATGCACATGTGTGCATGATCAATGCGGTATCAATATCATATTATAAAAAGGAGCAGCTTTGCATTGGAAAAGAAATTTGGGAGAAAACTGATTTTGAGCTCTCTGGGTGGGGTGGCTTCCACTAGCGTTCCAGTGACTGGGGCTGACTGGGAGTTGAACAA